AGGCACGAACAAATGTCCGAACGCCTTTGTGTTAGCATACATGTGCTTTTGTTGGCAAACAAGTGCAGATCAAAACAATCTTAGCGCAGGGGACATAAACTTGTACGTTTAAATATAAAAAAGACCGCAATAATTTCTTTTTTTTGTTTCGATCCTCGTCAATTTAGTGTCAAATCATAACAATTTTTATTTTCCACTTTTAAATGCAGCGCACATCCAGATTTGTGCTAATTTTCGTGAAATTTTTGAAAATGTATTTGAATGTGTAAAATTGTGAAGTAACCAAAAGAAAGCATTTTACACATTATCAATGGCACTTACAAACCATGTAAATTACCAAAACGTGGTCAAAATATGCATTAATAGCCTTTACTGCGTTAGTAACGCAGAAAAAATATTGTTGTAAATACTGAAAAATCAGTCATTAATCGCAAATTATATGCAAAATTTTTCTTGAATCTTGAAACTGTTTACTTCTCCTTACATCGTTGTAAATTTTCTCAAGTTTGATTTTATTTGAATATTGTGACTCATCTGGAGGTATGTAGCTTTAAAGGCCAATTATGCCTAAGAAATTCTTTTTTTTTTAATTTCTCAAAAACTATTTAATTTTGGTGTACTTTTATATAATCCAAAAAGTTACTCATTGGCCAATTACCTGAACCATCTTTTTCATTTGTTACTTTTTGGTAATAAGTGCAGTTATGAGAATTAGTATTTTGTATTGAAGTCAAAATACTACTTTGTTAACATTTTGCTACTTTTATGTCAAATTATTTCGTATTTATCACTACTATTTCAGGTTACCGGCATCTAACATCTCTTAAACAATTATTTAAATATTTTAAAATTATGATTACGTTTACCTTTTCTAAAGAAGTACACATTTATTTGTTTTTGAGTCATACCTTTAATATAAATTTCAGAAAAAGAATTTATAGAGCAAAGAAGCAAAGCTGAAACTTCTTCCCCGTATAAACAAGAGTCACTAGAAAAATATAAACAACATATGGCCAAACAGGAAGAGACAAAAACAATGACAACAAAAGCGCCACCAATAATTGATAAAGATGTTTTAAGAAGAAATGATACAACCCCAGAACTAACGGTATGATCATGTGTGGTAAAATCAAGATATTTTATTTTTAGCTCGACAACTCGAAAAATAGGGAGAGCTATTGTACTCAATCCGGCCTCGGCGTTATACTTCGGTTAAGTTTTTGCTCGGATTTTTTTTTCAAAACGACTGAAAAGAATGCGTTGAAACTTCACACTCTTATTTGAGAGCAAAATAAGAGTTTACTGTCCAATGCCCATAACTCTAACATCGATTTCGACATAATTATGGCCCTTTTTGAACTAAGAAAATTATACATTTTCCAGGCTCTTGTTTTACTATCAAGCATTGAGAAAAGTCGAGCACACTGTCCTACCGACTTATCTTGTTTTTTCATATTTTGACATTTGCCCTTTGCTTGGTACCAGACTATATATCGAGTACCTCATCGTATTGGTACCAATCATATTGAGAGTCATTCCTTTTCTTTCATTTCGAGGACACTCAATGACGCACTTAATCATTTCTTGCAGACGACAATTTTCCCAGCATGCAATAGAGTTAAATATGTTTTTCTTCTACATTGTTTAACGATTTACGATACGCAACTGAAGTGACCTTGGTCTTGATTACAATACACTGTACAAATTAATAAACAAAATTCAATAAAACATTGTAGAAACAGATGTCTAATTAAGTACAAGTTTTGAATATGAAGAGATAGCACGTTGGCCGTCTTATGTCTCCGACTATAAATAATGATTATAATTATAAATAAAAAATGGTATACAGTGACAAATTCTCGTTCAGTTATAATATTCATGATGTTTCATGTTCATTAAACTATGATGATTGAAATCATTAAATTCTATTCCTGAATGCACGCATCCGATTTTGAATGTATATTTTCAATCTCCTACGCAGTGGTCTCCCCTTATCAGTGCATTCTGCCAAGGAAGGGAATTAATCACTGTGAGGAGTTTGGTATATTTTATATAACTTCAGGAAAAGTTACCGTTCTTACCTGATTACAAATCACCGTGCTGGAAGGAACTGGATGAAGTTCTCGGTCCGGAAGTTAAGATCAACTGTTTACCATATTTCTATGTTGTCGGCGTCTCCCAGTGTGGAACTAAAGATCTGTTTGAAAGACTCACCCAACACCCTCTAATCTCAGGAAACATGAAACCTGGAAACCGATGGTTCACTAGATTACGTTTTGGTGAGTGATTAGTCTGTATCCCGGAAAAGACCCCGGGGTTAGTCTGTATCTTGGAATAGACCCCGGGCTTTAAACCAGGCATGTAGGAGATAAAGCTTCTTTCTAAGTTCTGACTCAAATCTAAGGGTTTTCATTGGTCAGTGTACATACTTTGACAGTTTCTGACCAATCAAATACCTGAGATCTGAGTTTGAGCTTGAAGAATTTCTTTATAACCTTCGAGCCAGCAGTATAATTATGTAAGGTTCATTCTGTTTTTCTTTAGTTTATTATTTACAAGTTTAACTCCTGAGAAATACATAGGGGTCAAATCCAGGAGATTGCCGGTGATTATTTTATATTGTGATATAACTAAAAGATCTTTTTGGTAGTACGATAAGTAAAATAAGTTATTAGCTAGAGTACACAATTAAATTTTCATTTTTTTTTCTTTTGTTAAAATTTGATTAAAAAGAAGCAGAGGTCAAGGCCGAGAAAAAAAGCTACATATGATACCAGTTTACGAATTCAGAAAGTTTATGGACACAGAAAAAAACATTATAAACATCCTCCCGCAAAAAAAAAAAATTGTTTTCTCTTTCCGATTATTTAGTTTTTTTTCTATAATTTAAACATAAAGGTTAACACTGTAAATGTCTTTCTTTGAAAGGATTTGAAACGATGACTTAATGAATATGACGTCATTAAACATTAACAGTTTCTATAATAATTACAGGAGGTTTTCCGTTACTATCGGATTACTTACAATACTACTATCATGCCGTGGAAACAGACATTAAGAGAATTACAACTAACGACGGCTATCACAACGCCATATTCGGTAAGCATTGGTCATTTACCTGTACAACATGTAGCTTTGTTATGGCGCGGTTGAGCAGTTGTCTTGTCCGGTCCTCGGAGAAAAGATACCGCCCCATCCTAAGATCAAACCAATGAACACTGGTCCGAAGGTTAAAGAGACATTCTCCAAGCTCAAACTCAGTTTTCAGGTATTTGATTGGTCAGAAACTGTCACAGAATGTACACTGACCAATGAAAATCCTGTCATTTGAGTAAGAATTAAAAACAGAAGCTTTATAACCTCAAGGTCAGGATTATATATCCGGGATACAAATCAAATACCCTCCCCTCTATTGAGGTTAGCGGGCTAATTGTCAAGCCAAACCAATTGTCATTAAATTTTGTATTTGGTCCAGCTTAAGCTTTTGTAATGTTATACAACTCAATCCACGTTCTTTTATCAAGATAAGAATTTACTTATGAATTGCAGGACCATGTACAATGTGCTGGTACTAGTTGATACTATGATTACTATGGCTGTCCAATGAAAATCTTCGTTACATCCCTGCAGTATTATGATTTATCAAAATAAGACTTGTGCCGGCTCGCCACGGCGAGCCGGTATTACGTTAGGATTTTACTGAAAACAACCTAAAACTCCGAATCCATCCAAAAATTTAATCGAAGCTTGGCTTCCAGCTTCCTACAAAATTTATTTATCAGGGCTAGGATCCAAAATTATTTAGCCAATCAAATTTAATCTTACATAGCGTCAAAAAACCTTCAATTTTCACGCCATTTTTAAAAAGCAGCAAGTATTATTTTGAGCGCAAGATATAATGATGATTAAAATGTTTGTTTTCATGATTTCTTTTCAAAAATCATATTTACACTGACTTTTGTTTTTAGCGATCTCACCTGTTCCTCTGTAGTAAGTTTTCGTTTGGTTAATTAACATAAGTGTACATCTGGTTCTGTGCATTTTTTTCTTTTTCCTTTTTTCCGGTCATTTTATCCTTTATCGGTATTTAGTGTATATATTTACTGGCCGGGGTCCGGGAGGCCCGGACTGGCCGGGATCCGGGATCGTATAAGATATAGAGGAAAAACTAATAAACTATATTTGTATTGATTATTGTCGTAATGAAAGGACATTAAACGTTAAGTTTTTTTATTGTATGTAATGAACGTTGAATTAATCAAACTTAGGATATAAATATATTTAGAGGTATTTATTAACAGACTTAAAATGCGGAAATCCCAATACTTATAATTATATGCCTAATTAATTGGAAAAATCAAAGACTACATTCTTGAATTGGTTAAATCCCGGGATCCCTTTATGTTTTAATGCGATCCCAGCTTTTTGAAAACTATATTCTTCAACTGGCCAATTCCCAGGATCCCTATATGTTTTAATAGGATCCCGGCTTATCTGAAAAACATCTTAGACTGGTCAAAATCCGGGATCCCTATATTGTTTTTAATAGGATCCCGGCTTTTCTGACAACTTGTGTTTACTTTAGGACTTGTGTCTGTCACTCATTCCAATACTAAATAACATTTTACAACTTAACTTCGTATATAGAGACATTTTTATGAATTCTACCTATCTAAGATTTATTTGGTCAAGATCAACAGGCCATACAGTAAATGTGCATAGACATAGGGACTTCATTCTATCTGTTTACATGCATCTTCATATATACTCATATTCCTCTTTGTTAAACTTAGAGAACTGGCTTCCATAACTTTATTTCACTTTTATTTTGATGTTCGCTGAAGTCTCTTCAGCTAACAGAACTATCATCGCACCCCTGGAAAAAAATTACGAAGCGAGTCGCTACTAGCTTTTTTAAAAGCTAACCTTGTGACTCCTTTATGCTTGTTCGATAACTTACTTTTTTTATCTTAATTCCGATCAAGGACCTCGTATTCAGTACATGTACTTAAGCAAAGAAAGTTTGATTTGTAGGCGATTTTACACCATCAACAATTTGGGATAATCACTTCTTACAAAGCGCGGCAAGGAAAAAGAACGTGACGGACCCGCCATATACAAATGCTGACGTCATTAAACATCTGAATCCGAACGCTAGAATTATTGTGCTGTTGTGTGACCCATTAGAGAGGTATTCATACGCGCCATCACCTGAAAAAGCGTAGCATTCTTAAGTAGTTTTTTATTAAACAAATAAGAGTTACAGTGGTTGAATTAACCTTTATTTTCCTTAATTATCCTTGATTATTTTTTTTATTTAGTTATAAGTTTGTTTTATTTCCATGAAAATAATTTCTTAACAATCAAGAATCTAATCTACGTTTTGAAATTTTAAAAATCCATGTAACCTGTACTCAATTTACTAAAATTCAACAAACCGATACTTTTAGATGATGTGTTTTTAAAGGTTATGCTGTCAGCCAAAATCTTTAACTCATTAAAATTGATTGTTTATTTATTTATTTAATAGTAAGTTAGTTAGTTTGTTTATTTACCTCCTAATTAATTAATTTGTTTGTTTGTTAATTTATTTAATTACATATTGGATATATGTTTTATAGGCTGTTCAGTGATTATATACAAATTGCGGAAGATTTCGAAGCCCCGCCCCTCGTCGACGAATTTCATGATCATGTCGTAAATGCAATGACACGGTTCTCCAATTGTTTAAAAAACAACACGTATCTTAGTTGTGTGTATTTTGGGAAACCCTCGTCCTCATATCGAGCTGCAGGACTGGTACGTGAATATATTTTACTGGTCAGCAACTTAATACCCAATCAATCAATCAATTAATCAATCGATCGATCGATCGATCGATCGATCGATCGATCGATCAATCAATCAAACAAACAAACAAACAAACAATCTCGAGAAGTGACCGACTGGTCAGAAGACCCTACTTCAAATCATTACAGAATTTATTTTAGGTCGATTGTGTAGGAAGCTATAAGCTTATAAACACACGTTCGAATCCGTTCCTGGAACCAACCAGCAATGAGTGTAAAGTTACTTGCTCAAGAAAACAACAACTTGCCCCTGACGGGGTTTGTACCTATGCGGCTAGCGAACGCTATTATTTGAATTGAGCAGAACAGAACATATCTTTATTAATCAAAGTTATAACAGATCGTAACAGATTAGTATACATCAAAACAGTGGCATATCTTTATTAATTACCAAATGACACGGTTTTATTAAAATCATTTTAGGTATTTATATAGGGGCAAACTCAATCAAACCGATTCTGCAACTTTTTCAATTTTTGACGTTTTGGGCGTTCATTTAGGGATTCTGTGTTGTTTTTTTTTGTCTATTTGCAGTCACGGATAGAGATTGGACTATATCATACACATCTAGCGAATTTTATGAAGGTTTTTCCGAAGAATCAGATGCTGATCATCAGCAAGGAGATGCTTGACAAAGATCCCGCTAAAATTTTACAGAAAATCTTTGATTTTTTGGATGTTGGTGAGCTTGATTGTTTCAATAAATAAATAAAAAAAAAAAAAAAATAAAAAAATTAATCAATTATTTAATTAATTAATTAATTAATTAATCCATCCATTCGTTCGTTCGTTCGTTCGTTCATTCATTCATTCATTCATTCATTCATTCATTCATTCATTCATTCATTCATTCATTCATTCATTCATTCATTCATTCATTCATTCATTCATTCATTCATTCATTCATTCATTCATTCATTCATTCATTCATTCATTTATTCATTCATTCATTCATTTATTTATTTATTTATTTATTTATTCATTCATTCATTTATTCATTTAATTCATTCATTCATTTAATTCATTCATTTAATTCATTCATTTAATTAATTAATTCATTCATTCGATTACTTAACAGAAAAAAAGTTTTAAAAATCTAAAGCATTTGTTACAATATTTTTCTTAGTATTATAGATGACCCATGTTTTCGCCGGGTTACAAGTTCGAAACTAGTGTGTAGAGCTTACTGCGGGTTTAACAGTTATTCGAATATTTCTCTTAAAAGACGAAACATTTGGTCTATTGTTTCGGACGGAGTCTATTTCATTGGAAAAAATCGAATATCTGGCGATTCCCAGCTTTTTTTAGGAAATGTATTTTAATTTTATTGTAGGTCCAATAAAAGATCCTATAGTATGGCAACATATCACGTCATATAGAAACACCGAACATTCACGACCGATTGGTGACATGAAACCGGAAACCAGAAAACTTATTCAAGACTTTTATTATCCACATAATTCGAGACTTACTAAACTGTTTGGACCAGATTTTGATTACAATAAAAATACTAGTAGCCAAATACATATAAAATAATAACGGAAGTTTATTAAAGGCACATTATGCATCTTCAGAGAATCATATTCTGAAATTATTTAGAAATGTCAAACATGTGTCTAATAATTGATTTAGGGTATGTTAGATGTTTAAAGATCCTGTAACACAATTTTTTATGTTTTTAAATCATAAATATGATGCTCAAATTAAGATTTATCAATATTTTAGGTTCCAAAAAGCATTATTTATAGATAATACCGAATTTAACATTTCAGGAAAATAAAGGAAGATTATTAGAAATTTATTTTCTATAAAGTTAAAGTCAAATTTTCCAACAAGAAATGAATGCATCTATTTTAATGATTACATATACTATGCACAAATATTTGCAGTATATATTTTATATATTATTTGATGTTTGAAAATTGTTTGATTAGCATAACTATATATATATAAAAAAAAACAATATAATTTCACTTAATGTGGTTAACCACTTTAATCACAAAATACAGGATCTTTTACAGCTGTAGAAATGACACTGATTGTGCAGTAATAATTTGTTAAGTTAGCACAATGTAAACAATGTAGTATTTTGACTTCCATGCAAAATACAAATTCACTATGATTGTACCAATGGCCAACAAAGCAAAATGGGCAAAGATAAATATTTTTTTTGGAAACTGTAACAAGATAATAAAAATAAAACGTTTTTAAGAAATAAAAATTATAGCATTTCTGAGGCATAATAGGCCTTTAATTATATTGTCACACTAAATGTCTTGTTGGTTACTGTTCTATTACCTCTGTATAAAAATGTTTGTATTTTAAAAATATGCCAATATTGGAGGCTTTCAATCATCTGTTCTGAATGGTCTATGTGACGGGTGACACGTAAACAGACGATTCTTGTTCAAGCCTTGAGTAATTTTGTGGGAATAATTCTAGGTACTTGTATTTCTTTGACTAGATAATATCAAAGCAGAAATGATAGTTTCCACACCTCTGTAGAGCGACCCCCACTTAGCAGGAACAGTTACAAATTTTCCAAAGCAAGAATATATTTAACTATCTTATCAACAGCAACAAAAGGTGTTGCTTTTGAGTGGTTGCATTGTTCAAAGGTTCACAAGGTTGTAAATATACCTGTATTATTTAGTCGTAGATTATTTCGAAAGAATAAGTTTCGTACCAATGAAGGAATTGTCTAACCGTTCGTACTACACATTCTTTAAAAAACTTACTTTCCTTAACAAACTAAAACTATTAAACTAAAATGGTATTTTGTTGTCTTGTTTGCAATGAATCTTCACTGAAATACATAAAGTACATATTACACGATTGGTGGTTGAAGAGTACAGAAAATTTTATTTTTAAAAATTTATTTAGTGTTTTTTTGTGTTTTTTTTTTACTTTGTTGTGTCGACGTGTTTCCGTATTTTCTCCGCGAATAAACAAAGACACGACAGATAAGCGAAGACACGACGCATATTATGTGTTGTATCATCGTTCATCTTTTGTCGGTTTTTCGCATGTTGAGAAAACAAGGACACGACAAAGTTCCCCTTTGTTACTTCATGTATTCACACCTTTGAAGTTTTGACGAAAGAGCGAAAATACGACATGGCGTAAATAAGCCACCATACCTCTGTGCAACTGTTTACAAGTTTTTCTAAGTACGTTTTTCACTGGTAACTTATTACTCTTTCAACATGCTTTGTATAAAGAACACAAACAAAAACACGTGATACTTTTTATGATTTTTATTGTCAAAATTTCAAGTTCATTATTTAGCTAAAACATAGTTACGTTGTAAACAAGATTTTCTTAAATACAGCTTTTAATTTCATGTCTGGTCATCATCAATTTATTTGAAGAATGCATTTATTACAAATGCTTTGATATGTGGGAAAAAACAACAAATAGAATTCAAGACTACAGAGCTATTTCTAATGAAATAGTTTTTTTTATAATATTTATAACCATTACAATTTCCATATTATTGTGGTATATTCTTGACATGGTATGCTCTTGTTTTTTAACACACATGAATATTGTAAATTAACGGAATAAATGTTCAGGAACAATATGCCATGCTCCTATAAGTTGAAGTATTATCGTTTAGTTATACAGAAATATACAAACATATTTCTATTTCTTATAGGTATTTTTTTTTCACAATTCAAACAATGATTTTGTGTTCTACAGTCAGCAATTATATAACTTTATACACATAAATTAAATCAATGTCAAAACAAATTTGTCCAAACAGAAATGTTGTTTAAACAATGAATTTAAAATTAATGTAAAAAAAATTCAACCGTAATTGTCATGTATGACTACTAAACAGTTTCAAATTATATACACAAAAAACAGTTTCTTTTTATATTGCATCACCTAACATTGCTGTTTTTGTTTGTTTGTTTGGTTGGATTTTACGTATGCGACGTTGCAGATTTACCGGTGGAGAAAGACCTCAGGTGTCCTTCCGTGCATTATTTCAGACTTAGTGAAAACCACAGACCTTCTCGAGATTCGAACCCGCAGCGTTTAGGGGCAAGTGGTTTTGAAGTCAATGACCCAAACCACTCGGTCGCGGACGCCCCAACATTGCTGTTAAACTGACCAAAAAAATTGCTGACATTCTGTAAATCAATGTCACGGTAATACATTTACTCTATATTACAATTTATTACCCTTCCAGATTTTTTCCGCCTTTTTGATTGGATATTGATCACCCGAAAGAAATTGATATAACCGAGCCAGACGGGTAATATACACACTAAATTTCCCCGTTTGGTACCCAACGTTGTAAACAACATGCGCGGAGATGATGCGCGTACGGTTCGATTTTACGCGGTGTAAATTCCGATTTAAAAGCACTTTTTAACTGTCAAATGATAAACATTTACCAAAGTAGAGTTATGATACATATAACCATCAGTATCGAAAACAAATATGACCTTGTGAAAGCTTGATATTAATTACAAAAAAGTGCGTTCAATAGACTACTCCTTTTCTCTTGTTTACTTTCGTACATTGTGTACACCGGTCTTACTATATGAGACCGGTGTAAATACAATGACTTTCGTAAGGTACGGGAAAAATACGTCATGTATTTATGTGACGTCATGTTGTGATGAAGAGGTATCCTAAAGGGAATCTTATTTCGACGTTTCATTTGAAACAGCAATGATTATTTAAAAATCGTCTAAACTCGGCAGGGGAAGGGTAATAAAATTATTATTTTGGTTTTGGAGTGATATATGTGGATATATTACCTGCCAAGATAAAATATCACCCTCGCCTAACGGCTCGGGTGATATAAAATCTTAACAGGTAATATATCCACATATATCACTCCAAAACCAAAATAACATATAATATTAAAAGGCAAACACATCTTAATTCTAAACAATAAAATGCTCCTCTTGTTATCCAAGAAAAATGTGACGGATAAAAAGCTTCCGCATACGACAAAGAAGTCCAATTTACTTGTTTCCGTCTTGTCGCACGCGCATGTTGTCTCTTGCGACAAACGGCGCAAAACTCTAATTACATGTCCACGGCGCATGTTGCTACCGGAAAAGGCAGCACCACGTGACAACAAGGTTTTTTTTTCTTTATAAAGGTATAAAAGTGATAGTTTTATTCAGTAGTGTTATTTACTTAACTGTTCTTCAAATGATTTAAAGTGAAATGTCCCGTTGTAAAAGGTGGAAGTTTGGTTATAGGGTATATTGCCTTGGTATTGTAATGTATTATCAACCCAATTGAAAGAGCGCTAACAAAGTTGTATCACTATTGCCAAAATAAAGAACTTTTATGTTGCTTAACTCATTCATTAGATACAACTTATTCCATATACTTTAGAAAAAAGATTATATCCACATACTGCCAGTTTTCAATCACAACCACTTTTCAATCATCCCTAGATTTTTTTTATTTTTAACCTTATTTGTCATGTAACCAAACTGTAAGCACATCTTGTATTCACCTTGACTACATTTATTAGCAGCAATGTCAATTATGGCGATAAAAAAGAAAATGTTAGCATTTTAGTTCAAAATATGTAAAATGTGTGTTTTCCACTAATCCTTTATTTACCCAGTTACAAATCGCAATAATTTTCTAAAAATAACTGATTTACAGACTCAGTTTTTTGTCATTCTGCAGAAATGGATATTAAGTTGGACAACTGTTTCAATATCGTGAAGTCATAATGTCTACTGCACTTCGAAAGCTATTATTTTAATATGTACATATTTTACCATACAATTCTTAATTTTAAGGTAATACGTCAGTAAAGTAACAGTCACTTAACCAAGGAAAAACATTCTCTCTGATAACTTTTCAGTAAGCTTTCACTAGAATGGGGTCATATAGACCCTAAGATCCTAAAAATTTCTCAAGAACATGCTTTCTCTGTTATGCAAATTGAAATGTACATCCATACCCCAATTACGACAGCTTTACCACTGCAAATAGATATCAAGATTGAAAAATGGCATTAAAATTAGGTTAAAATTGTTTATTACCATTTATCTGAAGTTGAGTTTGTCAAAATTTCTCCATAATACATAACTGATTATATCTTAACATTGTATGACAATTTTTATGTGGTACAGTTTATATTTTGTTAACTGATTGAAAAGTGGTTGTGAAATTTTGAAGAACAGGAAAATGGGTCAGTAATGATTTGTCCTCGATTCATAATAATAATTCAGGTAAAATTTTAAAAAGTTGGTGCATTTATTAGCTAAAATGATAATATTCGCAGAATTGAAAGAGATTTTTTTTAAATATAATTTCACTGTCAGTTATTGTAGAAAAATCTGTTAGCTGATCGGAAAGAGGCAGTACGGGGATACCTTATTATATAGATTATAATATCGTTTATAAATTTATTGATACATTGCTTTCAGCTCTTTTTTTGATGATATTTGTGAACAGTCGTCCTTTTTTTAAGAAAATGTAGGTGTAACTAATAAAGTTTCTACTTCGTAATGAAAGAAATTTGATTGTCAGAAAAACTCTGAAATGACTTTTTTATGTTTTATAGAATATACACTTGATTATATTTATGTAGAGTACAATAATTGCTGAATTTGACACCAACAGCTGTGTTCCAAACAAAGCAGCATTCTATTTTAGTACATTTTTATCACGTGCTCGAGGGGGTTTTCCCGTATGACGTCATTATTTGAGAGGGAATATCTCCAATATGGATGCTCGCTTACATGCTTAAATATAGGTCTTTGGTCCCTAATTTGCATTTTTTGTCTTATAACAACATAAAATTCATGTAGCTTTCCAAGGCTGCCAAGTGTTAAATATCTGGAAAAAAGACTTGCGAATTTAAAGAGCTTCGAAGATATATTTCACTTAGAACACAACTGTAATGCCGTAAAATTCTTGCTAACCAATCGCCTTAAGCTTTAGCTTGTTTAAATGAGAGAAAAAAACCCAGCCCAAAACGCTTCAAGACGTTGAATCTAAGATATAAATATGCATAGTTACAACAGTAACCTTATTCTGAATAATGTTGGTGCTATTTTATCGTGACAGTGCACATTTATTGTAATTCTTTTTGACGGCACATTCTTGTGACGTCACACATTTTTTCACGGGCGACTACAGCGGGTGGCCGTTCTTTCGGAGGTTGCCATATGATTTAACATAAATCAAAGTACAAAATATAAATATAGCACATTCTCATTAGAAAAAGAAGAAAAGAAAGGAAAATAACAACAACAAAACCAAAACACATGATCGACAAAACATTGAAAATATTGCTTAAAACAAAACCGATACAAATTATAATTAAAAAACCTAATTCAATATTTAGGAGCCACGTGACTTTTACCTGAAAGCCGGTTAGGCTTATTGGGAAAAGGGTCTACATGGATGTTGGTAAGTAAGATATATGGTCTGATATGACATTTCTAAATATAGCAGCCAATAAATTGTTCTATAACAAAATATTACAATAAATCATATAAAAATATGTTCATACTCAATCAGTAAATCATTAATCAATATTTTTTGTCAAGAAATACTTTATAAGAATATCAACTGAAACATTTCTGTAGTTTTTATAAATTAAAAAATGTAAACCTATTTGAAATACTTCAGGAATTGAAAAAATATGTCGGATGCTTATACATATAAATAAGATAAATGTAAGGGTATATTCAATGATAAATATATTTTTTTTTATCAAAATTGATTACATAATTTTTGTGTATGAAAATCTTACGATTAGCTATATCTATTGATATATACGATATACTGTAGTATTGAATCAATGCTCGAATACTTCAAAATAATTTATGTTAAAGTTACACAGGTTTTTCAAAAATGAAAAATATTTCCTGAAATTTACAAATTTTAAAATAAGTTTTGTTTTATCACAGTAAGTGTGTTGACTTCAATGTATTGCAATTATCGTTTTAAATTTCGACCAGACTTGCTTATTTTTAATTTGGTCAAGGTAAAATTGTTTAAGAAATCGATCAAAAATCGTTTTTTTTTTAATGAGATCAAAATCTTTTCAAAAAATCGATCAAAATCGGTTTTTAATTTCGATCAAAATGGTATTAAAAATTAAATCAAATCATCATTGTAAATACAGTACACAAACTTTTTATTTGTTCAAACATACAATACAACGAATTTAATAATGCAAATGTTATTATTTATGTTAAAAAGGCAAACTTGAAATATTATATATTAGATCTACGTGTTCATTTTTTAAATTAATCACGAGGTAGATCTAAATGTAGATCTATTCTGAGGCCAACATAGCTGGCAAAACATTTCCGAATGAAATCTTCAAGTATGTAACAGCCATGTTATATTTATGTTCATTACTGAAAAAAAATAGATGAAAAACTACGAGAATCGCAAAACAATTGACATAAATTATACAATTTAGAAAAAAAAAAATAATAATATTAAAGCGCATATGACACCTGTCTAAAATGAAGGATTACATCACATACTGTGACGTCATAGAACGAGGATATCACGTGCTGTGACGTCATAGACGTGATTGTATCGATATTGTGTGCTATCATGTACATAATTATATTTTAACCGAAGGCAAACAATGGAAGGAAAGCATCCAAGACTTCGCCATCTATATTGTTGAAGATCCATTTAGATAACGGGTCACGTGGTCGAAATTCCTCACCGTCGGCTCTTGCACGATTCCGCTGTCGTCGCCCTATAAAACAAAGAAGTGATGATATTAAAGTCTGCTCAATTTTCTTCATTTAAAACGTCCTGCAACTGTCCCTTTTACTTTCACTTACTTAAAGCGACCTTCAGGTTTTCTAAAGGTTAAATATTTTATACTATAGGTGTAAAATGAAATTTAGCAAAAATATGATATTAATATGTTAGCTGCTCTTTTGTATAATGTTTATAACTTCATATTATATTTCGATATCATAACAAATCGGAGAATATCATCTGGTAATGAGTCTGTTAATATACTATATAAATTTATCATAATCAAAACATATATTTAATAAAATATAAAGATAATATTGTGTCAATCGCGCATACGTCAAGCGGAATACTTTTTGCGCAAATTTGCATACCAATTTGCATATCAATTGTGATAAGTTTATGAACTGACCTACAATTTGAATCACATTCCGTATCGGTTCTAACGAAAAGGATTCATTTCTTATATCGTCACTTTTTTCAACCCACTATTCCCTCGTTTACTAAACCGATATTATATAGATTTCTAAAATCAGACACTTTTCTAGCCTTTGTTTCTTTAAGTTATAATCCAAATTCAAACAAAAATATAGTAAAATATAGTAAAATCGAAATCGAAGATTCCTTGTGCGTGTATAACATAACATACAGCATTTGCGAATTCAAGATTTCACGATTTTAATTCATGACGTTGAAAACATTTAGTTGAGTTGAAATCGTGAATTTTGAATGTTGAATTCACGAAGTTAAAAACTTAAAATCGTGAATTCAAGACAATGAAAACGAGATTTCATGAATTTGAAATGACCCCGTCGATCTTTTGTAGAATACACTTTTTGATAGCTCAATAATTATGGATATAGTCGTAAATTTATATAAATGTTATTTCCGATAAAATTAATAAATTGTACAATTATAAAAATGTTACTTCCCACATATGAATAATATAGAGTAAATTATAAGATGAAAGTTAACGTTAGTTTACGAGTTAATATTTATTATAACATTATCTGTACAAGTTGATATTTAATTAGCGTTAGCTTAACGCATATAGCACCAAAATTATATATGAGCGATTGTTAGCTGAACATATTTATATCTATGTTCAAGTTAGCTGCACATATTAACATATATGTTAGAATTTCAAAGAAAATATTGATATCTATCTTCACGTTAGCTGCACATGTTAACATATATGTTATAACTTCGCTGAACATATCTATATCTATGTTCACGTTAGCTGCACATGTTCACATATATGTTAGAATTTCGCGGAACATATTTATATCTATGTTCACGTTAGCTGCACATGTTAAAATTTATGTTAGAATTTCGCGGAACATATTTATATCTATGTTCACGTTAGCAGCACATGTTTAAATTTATGTTAGCATTTCGCGGAACATATTTATATCTATGTTCTTGTTAGCTGACCATGTTTATACTTATGTAAACGTTAGCTAAGCATATTTACTTTTAGCTGAATATGTTTGAATTAATGTTAGAGTACATAAACAATACAAATATTAACATATACGAGTACAAAAAAGCTCTTACAAACTCGAAACATTTAATGACATGGGCGCCTCTACGTTTTTCTCCGTAAAGTATAAAATGATAAAATATTTTTGTAACCGATCAAAGTTTTGTAACATTTTTGTTTCATTTCAAATGTTTCGAATTTGAAAAAATGGTTTGGGAAACTCTATACTCACCGTGAGGAATCATTTTATCCGACAATGGATAAAATATGACCGATCTCTGAGCCGACTGATTAATATACATATTTTAAAACTTTAGTACGAAACATATTGATAAAGAAGTGAAAAAAGGGTTGATTTTTAAAGAATTTTTAGAATGATTATACATAGAATAGCTTATTTTTAGCATTAATTTCAGTTTGCTGCGACTTAAAACATCTCCCAAGATTAATGATATGAAAAGAAAGTTTCATTAAGATTAGAGTGAAATCCAAAGGCATTAATGATAAGTGTTTTGTAGAATTGTACTGCTAAATGTATTGTTTTTATGTCACGGCCGTTTTGATTTGGCAATAAACTAACATGATATCTTAATTATATCTATTCAAGTCGTGTTTATCTTAGTTGTAACAATGTGAAGATGTAGAAGAAAATTTAACTGAAATACTCCAATTATTGAAAAAAAAGAGAAACGATTTAGCTAAATTTATCATTTAATTAATAATGAATGATTTACAATTACTAACCTAGTGGTCGTGGGCGTGGTCGTGGTCTCGGTCTAGTATTTCTTCTGGGTGCTTGCTGTCTTCTCATTGGTGGTTGCCGTCTAGGAGGTGGTCCACCTCGCCTAGGGTGATTACTTACTATTGGATCGTTATAATGGTAGACGGGTGTAGGGTATGTCGTTGGTATAAAATCTGTAGTGGGCGGGTAGGTGGGCGGGTACGTTGTCGGAAGAGGTTCTATATATAGATATAAAAAATAGAAAAAAATATGAATATAATCAGATTTTAAATACAAAACAAATTAATTAACAGAATATAACATAATGTCTTAAAAATTATGATAACAGTGCAAATTGCTTCCCTGGATAGACAAGAAAATTATGTCAACTCTCCCAACGCGGCGAAGGAAACTGAAACAAAGAAAATTTCAAAGGTTAAAAAAATCACGTTGTTCAATTAATGATGTCTTCATTGCCATTGATATGGTATAACTACTGCTGAACATCTTTTGTCGTCCATGATGCCCCAAATTGAAAACAACCTATCTGTAAAGAATCAAAATGAATTTGGTTAAAATATTTTACAATGATACATGTCGTTGTTTTTTTTTTATCATGGAATATATCAAAATAGTCGGTATAACGAAACATGATTTGCCCTAATAAAGCGCAATTATACGATATGGTTTTTTTCACTTACCAAAACTAGGAAAACATATTATATTGTAGGGTATCTTAAAAAAGTACATACAAGTGAGAAAGTCCAAACATTTCAGGAACCCCACCAGTCAGCCCACAAAAATTTTGCCCCTTCTTTGATTGAGACTGACTGGGAGAGGCCCTGATGGGAGGATTTCCAAAGAGGTGCGTATTAATAAATATATAGTGGGCCGCACTACAATATAAACAGGAAACATTTCTACGGGGATGTAAATAATAGCCTTTTACAACAAATGTAATGTAAAAAGTACTAATTTCACAACAAATGCTAGAAGTACTTATTTCACAACAAATGTAATGTAAAAAGTACCAATAATCTTTCGGCATTCAGCAATTAGATTTGTATGCATGGTCCTCGTAAAAATATGGGCTGTGTTAAATCTGTTTAAAAATATCCATGAAAATTAAATAATTTTATGGAAATTTACTTAGGTATACAGTAAAGGAAGGTATTAAACTTGAATATTATGCAAAATACAATCATGAAAAAGACCAGTCTCCCTGAATATGAAGAAATATACTTTTATACCCTGGAGTAATGTATTTAATTTGCTAAAACGTGGAAAAAGAATGTGAATAAAAATGTAAATATTTACAATGTCGGTAATAATGGGAATAAAAATGCAACTAATAACAATGCAAATAATAACAATGGAAATAATAACAATGGAAATAACAATGGCAAATAATAATATAACAAAACATTTTTATTCATCACCCATTATTCTACCTGTTGTTGTTGTAGTTTTCGGACGGCGTCTACGAGCATTTCGTGCTGGATTGGCCCGCTGTTGATTTTGTTTTGAACCTGGTTGGCGTTGTACTGGCCTTTTTACGATTGAGCCAAATTTCCCGGCTGACGTTGGTTGCCAAACATTGTTATTGTTCGCTTGTTTTGCTTGTTTTTGTTTTGGTTTAGGTTGGGCTTTCGCTTTGGCTTTTGGCTTCGGTTTAGGGGGGTTGACAGGGGGTGGTTTTGTGGGTGCCGTGACTGGTTCAGGCAGAATCACCACTGGTTCGCTCTGTGTTGCCGCCATTTTTGCACGTGCCTTATCATCTCGGATAAGTTGTGCTTCTATTTGTGCATTTGTAAATCCAGGATTCATCCTTTTTAACAATTGTCTCCGCTGAGCACGTGCTGTGAATTTAGGTGTTAAAAAGCTCATGATCATTGTTAAATATTTCGTAAAAAACAGTTATTATCAAATTTGTAAATCTGCCATGTAAATCTGCCATTTAGTTATGAAAGTCTTCTGCATTGCTTATATTATGATAGTAGAATTACAGATATCAATCATTTCATATTATAATCATTTAATATTACAAATGATCACATCTTGCATACAGTTAAGCTTAAATTACATGAATAATTATCAGTAAAATTATTTAAATTATATGGTTTAGAATAATTATCAATATGTTATATATTTCAATTATATGGTTAAGAATAATTATCAATATATTATATTATTAAATTATATGGGTTTTTAGAATAATTATCAAAAGGTTATATATTTAAATTATATGGTTAAGAATCATTATATTTTATATATTTTAGTTATATGGTTTAGTATTTTGTAAAATCGTAGTTTATATGTTTTAATGTTAATGGCTAGTTATTTCAAATATCGCATACATTTGAACAAAGTTGTTATATTATATATAATAATATTGTTTCACTTTATATACCAAGCACGTTTTATTAAGAGTTTTAAACTGTTACATGTATGTAAACATTATGTTAAGTTTTTTATGAACACACATATAAAAACAAAAAAAAGCGCGAAAATAGCTTCTGGGTTATACATACATGATAGCTGGACACAAAAATCACTTGATGATATACTAAATTTTACTAGAAAAAGCATCAATACTACGATCACTAAAGACGATTTTGTTATGATTTGGCTAAAGCATTTAAAAAACCAACAATGACCTCTGACCTCCGAAACCTTACATTACGATGAAAGTAACTATACAGAGACTGCGCAGAAAACACTGTACATTGCACTATTGAAAGCTAAACAAAAAGAAAGCATAATTTATTAAGAAAAAACCAGAGTGAGAAATATTCTACAAAGCTTTACTGCAACACAAAAAAAGCAATTCTAAAACAAGAAAATCATACGAGAGTTTTAAATGTGATAAAAACACTCACACGAAAACTTTGAAACGCCTATAGTGGGATAAAATATTATAATCATTAACAGAAAGTAAGTGCAACAGTTGTTCCTCGTAAGTAAATATGTCAATTCAAGCAACCATACTCTAAAAGACTGGCTAGTTTCAAACAATTTAACCAAGATACTATTTGATTAACCGAGGAGAAAATTCTGGGACGAATATGATGAAAACAGTATGCCTTTGACCAAGTTCCAGACACTATTTGCCATTGGGAATGCTTTTGATGAATGAACAAAGGAAACCATTCTTGGGAAAAGTATGCTGGTATAAAATCTTAAGTATGCCTTTGACCAAGGATTTCAGATTAAACAGTCAATATCACCATTATTTTACCTACAAGTTTCATCTTTTTTTGTATCTTTAAATATGAGTTCAAGAAAAGAATTACGAGTATTCCATAGGTGATCTTAACTTGTATATAAATATTTGTAGTCAACTACCTTTGTAAAAAATTACACTTTTTTATATATTTTATCTAAAAAAAAAAAAGATCAGAAGTGTCATTATGATCACGTGTCTACCTGTTGCACTGATGATTGGTTGTCCAGATGGAGCTGCACTTGTCCTAGAACTGGGTGGATCAGGTTGGGATATAAATATCTGTCCAAAAGATTTCAATTCGCTTGCTGACAGCGGACTCCACAAGTTGAAATTTCTCTTTTGTTGTTTCGGTAGTATTAACTTTGGTTTGGACTTTTGTACAAAGATTTGGTTTGGTTCTTCAACAGAAATCTGTTTCGAGACGGCGTTTGTCTGTATTTGTACCACGTGTTGTTTTGGTTTTTCAACGGAAGTCTGTTTCATAGCGACGCTTGGGTGGTCCTGTAGTATAATGACGGGTTCGCTCTGAGTTGCCGCCATTTTTGCACGTGCCTTATCATCTCGGATAAGTTGTGCTTCAATTTGTTGGCTGGTAAATCCGGGATTCATTCGTTTTAACAATTCCCTTCGTTGAGCACGCGCTGTGAAATTTTAGATACATGTAGATAACGCATCATAATTATAATAGATACTTTGTAATTTTAACAAGTGTTGAAATTTCAAAGTTTTACAGAAATATTGTATAAAAAAGAAAAAGAAACCTTATTTAAAAAATCTCAAACAATTTTCTCAGGTGAATATAAAACAGACTGTAAATAAAATTAAAAATAGTTTGAATTGATTAATTGAATTTGTTGATTCAGGCTATCATATTAAACTAACCTGATAATTTTTTTAAAAACTTTTTAAATACACTAATTCAAAGTTACACCAACAATAAAATCCCTAAGATTTATATTTTTTTCACCTCGGTGCAATAACTGTTTAACTCCTATTAAATTTAGAAGGATTTAACCGGTTATTGCAATAAGTTGACGATATATGCTCAAACTCTTATTTAAACTAGAACAAGACCACTAGACTTGCTATTCGCCATGCCAATCTGAACTTTGCTGCACGAGCTGAGAGAAGAACTTCTTACCAAACCGGTCCAAACAAATACATTGGCTAAAGTTTAACAAAAACCAGGCATAAGATCTACATTTACCTTTAAGAACAGCTAGCAAAATGAGCTGGTTTCTAGAAACTACTGGTCATTCCCTTTTTAAATCTACAAAAAGCATAGAGAAATACATGAACTAGAGAAATACATGAGCATTAAAGAAATTTTCAGACTTAAAAAAACCCAAAGTTTCATAACAATTTATAGTGGTTAAAGAGACAAACACATTTAAAAAAAAAAACTACAAAAAACGAACGAACAAAGAAATAAACAAACAAATAAACACAAACGAGCAAACAAACGAGCATGTAGCAGTCGAAAAGCTATATTTGTTTCAAGATGACAAAAATATTGTTCTTGTCGGCTACACTAACATCTGGCAAGCGATCTGGAATATGTAACTATAGCAACATTATGAATGACTTTGGAATACACATATGCTCTCTGACAAGTCATATACATGTAAAAAAACATACAAGATGCTCTAAAACAAGGCCTACTGAACACATGCACCTTTTATAGGTGTTAGACGTTTTGTAGAGGAAAATGATAACCCCAAAAATATGGGGCCAAAAAACCCCAACGCAGCAGCCTTTCGTTTTCGTTCTGTTTAAAAATTTGGCTTTAAACATGTACATGTATAACCTTAGCGTGACGGTAAAAAGTTTGTCTGGGTTTTCTTGTACAGTGAAATATGTAAAAAAACAAATTCAGATTTCCAATTTCAATTTCAGATCTAAATGTATGTATATCATTTTAAAGACATTCGACAATTTCTAAATGTTTCTGAGGATGACGTAATGTTAAATGTTTAGTACTATTAGTTCACATTGTGTTAGAAACGTCTAATACGCGATGATAATATGGATATATTTCATGCTGGTTAACTTCCGGTTAACTGCTGGTTAACTGCTAGTTAACTGCATAACCAAGATACTTTTATCAGGACGGGCTTCTATCTCCTCTGGAACATCCGTCGTGTTCATTCTATCGTTTGGCCCTAGGGGAGGCTCAGTTGTGTGGCTCGAACTCCATCCGGCGACTTGATAACCCGTGTTGGCCTGTGGTTTGAACGCGTACGAGGGAACCGGAACATACCCTGTTTATATCGAAAAGTATGAAAATAAACAAAAAAACGGCTGCATGTTTCTACCATGCTAACTCAAGCAAAAGGCATTTCAGAACGCTAACTTTTCCTGTAATTGATAGATTGATGATAATTTATAATTAAAGCATGCAAACATCAATCAGCAATAACAAATAATAGTCAATGACAGATATTTCTTAATTCCTAATAAAACGGTAAATATCGACTTTTATCGGGAATTATCGTAAATAATTTGAAGCTGCTGTCGCCTTTTCTCGCTTTTTTTCCCCGTATATCTATTTTTAGTACATTTCTGTCACGTGAGAGGGTATTTTCCACTGTGATGTCATTATTTAAAGAAATACCAATATGGCGCCTCGCAAACATGCTAATTAGGGTTTGTAATCATCATACTTTTGTCGTGCATATGTAAATCTCAAAATATAAAGCCTTTTATTTCATCTATTTATCTTTACTTTATAAAGTAAGTAAGGTATGATATAGGCAATTTTCAATTTTTCTGAAGCAACACATCAAAGCATCCCACAATCCCTTTCTTAAAAAAATAGTTCGACGTATAAATTGTTGAAAGTATGTATTTATTTGGGACATTATGTTTCAATGAAGTGTAGCAATCATGTTTGATAAACAAAAAAACTTGGTAAGACAAAGGCAACAAATTGCCTGTCGGAAATACTGCGTTTTTTTTATTTGATTGACATGAACATTTTGATGGACATTTTGTCACTATGAGATAAATATTAGTTTGCGAAGTATCTAGAAACGTATAAGCGACATTCTTGTCTTCTTTGTTTAGATTTATTGTCCGTTTAGGTTAATTTACTCGTTTATTTTCTTCAGGTTTTACAATTAGACTAAATGTTCATTTAGAAACTGATAGGTAAGCAAAATAGCAAAATAGCGCGATGTCCTCCAAACTCACGATTATGTTTATTTTAAGCTGCGCCAGAAATTACAGCATAACGGACAATGAAGAAACAAATTTAAAATGCTAATTTATTAAGGAATTTGAAACTTATATTCCATGTTTTATCATTTTTGATGTCGGCTTATGAATTATTTAACTTTTTTTATGGATATCTCTTGAAAGTGGACATAGTTTTTTAAATAGTGTATTCTATTTTAATCAAAACGCTATTCAAGAAGTCTTTAGAATTAATCCTCTCGGACAAGAATATGACTCATAGGCAATAAGATGACGTTTACATAAAATTTCACCATAGTCGTCTCATATAATATGCGATTAAAGTTATATATCTGCTGCTTGTAGTTTACAAAGGTATTGTTTGAAGTTTGGAAAAGACAACAAAGAATATTTCAATATTAAAGGCCCATTTTGCCTTAGATATGCTATCATTTTTATTTCTCAAAGACATTTTATTTTTTTTGGTATCTTGTTACATTTTCCAAAACATTACTTATTTGTTATCATTTGCTTTTGTTGCTATATAATTGGTATAATTATAGTGAATAGTATTTTCTATGGAAGTCAAAATACTACTCTGTTTACATTTTGCTACCTTTATGACACATTGCTACATATTCAGTGCTATTTCTTCAGTTGTTAAACATTTAAACATGCTGTAAATCTATTATTAAAACATTTGAACACTGGTCTGGCAATTCCAAAGAATTAAAAAAATTGGATTTATCATTTTAACAAATATTAAATATGCCTTTAAAAAGAAATAGGATTGAATATTTTCCTTAATAGCGAATTGTGCATGCAAGGAAATATTGCTTAAAGGTTCAAACTTTACTTTAGTTAGCAGTGTGATATTTTGTTCTGGAACATTTCATTCTGTCTATTGTATGTTTAATATGTTAAAGGCCCATTATGCTTCAGAAAAGCTTTTAGTTTTAGTTTTCGAAAGCTTTTTTATTTTTTGATGACCTATCGTAGTTTTTTTTCAATTACTACTCATTAGCCAAATATCTGAACTCTCTTTTGCTCCTGTTGCTTTTCGGCAATCAGTACACTTATAGCAATTGAGTATTTTGTATGGAAGTCAACATACTACTTTGTTTACGTATTGCTACCTTAATAACAAAAAAAATCATATTCCGCTTTATTTTCTTACGGTGATAAGTAAGTAACAAGCTCTAAAACCATTGATTTATTGCTGCAAAACTCATAGTTGCCTTTTCTAAAGAAGGACAAATTCAAAATAATAATGGATTTAAAATGACTTGATATCGTATGTTATAAGAAAACGTAAATCATGTTTTAGCATACAGTTTTTGTTACGGTTGTCCTGATATACCGATGTAAATCTGAATACAAAGAAAACAAGGTGACAGATAGGAACTTTGCCTTTTGGGATGGGGACGGTGGGCAAGGGGTGCGGGATGTAGGAAGGGATCTAGTAACAACTAATAGGTACTTGATCAATTCAGTCACTATAAAAACGTATCTATAATAATCTAAAAGATATTAAAGGTGTTGCAATTGTCCTTGTCGCCATTAGCCGTATTCAAGATAGCATGACAGCACTCCTATTCATGATAAGACTTGTCGAAAAAAAATGATTGTCGCGATTAAGCCGTATTCAAGACAGCACAGCATGACAGCATTCCTAGTCAAGATAAGAAAAAGAGACACTTTATGTGACTCCACTAAGTTTTTTTTGACACGGTAGGATTGAACTTTTTTAAGATAGTAAGTACTATTTGATACAGGTCAATGATACAAAATGATGATACAAAAGCCAATAGCTTTTGTGCAAAATTTCGGATCATTCGTACAGCAGACGTGTTGTTATTGATGATACATTCACTTGATGGGGATAACAATATATGTGTGTTACATCTCATAAAGTGTTCTAGAAAAATATATTAATACTAGTAGTTTAGGACACGATAGTTCAGTGACGAGTAAACTCCTAATGAACTACATTAAGACTTAGCACGTGATTGAACTTCCCTATCCAAGGGATATTAAGCTTGTTTAATGCACAATATGGCGGAATTTGATAAAGATTTATCACCATGTCTATAAACCGTTACTAACGGAGTAATATATAATTACATATATCCGCATATTTAAGCATGCTTTGAGGAAACCTCTGTGCATAGTTAACAGTCTTACGTTAGGTTAAATCGCTATATTTACACAATTTTGAATTATAATTATATATTTATAGATAACAATTAATTCTTTACATTTTTTAAAAGATTTTTTTATCAAAGTTGACTGGAATCTTGAGGAATGGTTTAAGAGAATGTTATATGCTTATTATCTGAAGAAAGTGGCGATAAATGTAAAAATATTTGTCATAAAAGTAGCAAAATGTAAAGAAAGTAGTATTTTGACTGCCATACAAAATACTGTACATTTTGCCAAAAAGCAGTGTAACACCGTAAAACGTCCGTACCGCAAAACGTACGCGTGTGGACGTTTTGCGGCGCATATCGTACACATGTGGACGTTTTGTGGTGCATATCGTACTTGGTACGTTTTGCGGCGAGAGTGTGCCTTTGCGCCTCATATCGTCCATTTTTATCTGTATTAAAATATATTCATTATAAACGTTACTTTTATTGGTTCTGTCATTTTCATATTGTTTCAGGTAAAGATATGAAAAAATAAACATTAAAGTGCCATATTTTTGTGATCCTATATAATTCTGACTTTTTTTTTCTTTTTAAAAAAAAAAGAAATATGCTTTAACCGAGGATGTTTTTCGTATAGATTTTTTATGAAATGAAACCAAGCAGCAGCAGCAGAGATATAAAAACGATGATATTGAAATAAATGTAATCTTAGTGACATACAGAAAAGGACGGCTGAACGGACGGACGAACCGGAGATTTGACTATGTGAATGACAAAAATATTAAAATTAAGCTTTGCTTTGGACAAAAGCTTTTCATATAATTGCATCAAGAAGTGGGAATTCTTGTTGACTATGGAGGTTTGGTTCTATCGTTCATTTTTACGGGGGATGAATGAGGGCTTTTGACAGCGTAGTCATATTTGAGCGAGAGAGCTATATTGTCATGGAGATGGGACCTTTAAGTCGCCTAGTCATAATTGAGCAAGAGAGCTTTTGTCGCGGGGGCGGAGGTGGGGATGAGGTTGCTTTTAGCCGCCTAGTCATATTTGAGAGAGAGAGAGAGAACTTTTGTCGAGGGAGGGAGATTTTAGCCGCCTTGTCATATCTGAGTGAGCGAGCTATTGTTGTGATGGGGGAGGGGCTTTAGCCGCCTAGTCATATTTGAGCAAGAATGTAAATCGTTTTGTTTGAATGCCATTATGTAATTTTATAATTGAACAATGTAATTTTATATTTGAACAAAGCAAAAGGTCATGGCGGCTTTATATCGCCCACCTGCCTATAAAGGGTCCACATGACAAGGGTAGATAACATTGAATTTTACAAATTAAAAGCAAGTACATTTCATGTACTTGGTCAGAATCTGGGTAACTGATATCAGTACTCAATTCTACGTCTGAAATGGTCATCAATATCCAAATATCTGTAAATGACAAAGATGTGGTAATTTAAGCAAAATTCAATAGTGACCTTGAGGTCAAGGTCATTTCAAGGTCAATATTATAGTTCAACTATTCAAGATGTCCGTCCGGTCACAAATGTATGAATGACATCTGATCATTGATAACAAAGAAATGGCAGTTTTATCACAATTCAATAATTTGACTTTAAAAAATGTCTTTATTTTTATTATTCAAAGGCAAATAACTCTTGACATATTCAGTCGTTTTAGCTCATAAATAAACTTGATCGAGACTTATTGTTATACTTATTCTGTATAAAAAATTAAGAATGGAGAAGAAACGAAAGCACTAACAAGGTGAAATAAAGTGCGTTTTTTGTTGTTGTTTTTTTTTGTTAGATTTAGCCTATAATCTAACTTTGATGAGATTTTTATGGTTATAGATATTCTGTTGAAAATTGTCAAGATTGAAGAAGAAATGAAAGTGTTGGAGTGGTAACAATGTGAAATATAACAGATATTGTAATTCAAGGGCAGATAACTCTGGACATATTGCTTAGGGTATGTGGATGCTAGAGTTGTTACAAGCTAAATTTGGACGGATAGACAGACAGGCGCATACTCAGGTGAACTAAAATTAACACTCAATAACACCTGATGATAACTGGTCAAAATTAACGAAAATTATATAAACTTTAAATATGGACGTTATGCGGCAGGACCATGCCTTTTTGCCGCAAAATGTACGTCAGAAAAATGTGGACGATATGCGCCTCAAAACGTTCATATACGTACGTTTTGCGGTACGGACGTTTTGCGGTGTTACAAAGCAGCACATGAAAATGGTTCAGGTAATTGACTAATGAGTAACTTTTTGAATGCTATTAAAGTACAACCAAAATTAAGCCTTTGAGAAAAAAAAACATTTCTGAGATACAATGGACCTTTAAATATAAGATTAGAATAGAATCGGCGAAGCCTTTGATGACGTTTTCAAACACTATAGAATGATTTTAAAGTATACAGTTCAATTATGTGTTTTAAAGTATACGGTTCAATTATGTGTTTTAAAGTATACGTTTCAATAATGTGTTTTAAAGAATACGGTTCAACAATGTGTTTTTAAGTATACGGTTCAACAATGTGTTTTAAAGAATACGGTTCAATAATGTGTTTTTATACTCACACCACCTCTGGCTGTATGAAATATCCACATTAAGACAGAATATCAAGAACGCTACACAAAACTCATTCATGTTGCTAATGTATCGGCGTTCATATATATCCTCGAGTCTTTACTAAATATATGAATAAAATAGTCATTAAAGAACAAAAAATAATAATAATAATAATAATTAAATAAAAATAAAAAATAAAAATAAAACAAAAATAGTGAAAAAAGTGAAATAAGTATTAAAGGACTTTTAAATTATGGCTATGATTTACCAAAAAAAAAAAAAAGAAAGAATAAAAAAACAAAGAAAAATATAATTGAAAAATAATTCAAAAAAACATTGGTCGATATAAAGGACGGCAAAATTATGCTAACAATTAAAAGATGAAAACAACAGCAACAGCAAAAACAACAACAAAAAATTTGAATTAGCTCTAGTAGGCGGTACAATATTTCGCGCATTAAGACACATTATTTATCATTTTAACAAAATAGTTTATTAAATTGCATGTTTTCCCCCAAGAATCTGACAAGTGAAACGTTTAATTCAGCATATATCTCGAGTGCAGTACAATTTCTGTAAACATAGTTTGTTAAATTTTAACTGACCAACCGCAATTTTTTAAAATATTTTTCATGATCATACAAAATTTTGTTCACGAAATGTAAAACTGAAATTTAATGAAAATACAAAATAAACATAATGAACCGACATGGGATTCATATTAAACAAAGGCGCGTAATTATTGAAGTATTGCACGTTGTGAACGTGCAATAGTTCAATAATAAGTGAGCCTTTATTTAAAACGAACCCCATGTCGAAATATCTTTGCGATTGTCATAGAAATATATAAATAATATGCAAACATAACGGTCATGTATATATACACAATTGTTTTATATATGTGTAATAATTAACCACGAAAAGTCAATTTACGATGTACGTAAAAAAAATAAGCAAGTCCCTTAATAAAACACTGAACGAATACGTAAATTTCAGTAAAAAATAAATAAATAGAAATAAAGAAATTAAAAATAAATATGAAAGAAATCCTTCATCAAAATATTAAATAGTTTTTTTTAAATTAATATATATTCCAGTAAATAATTCGCATTTTACAAACGTCCTTCGTTCATGTAAACCTCAACACTACCACAGCAATTATTTTGGCATGTTATAATTATTTAAAGCAGTATAAACCATATATCACGTGACGTGCAATAATTTATTTAAAGGCCGAAGTAACCGCATATATTTGTAAGGTGACGCTGTGGTAAAAGTGGTATAGGGCATTATTATATAGTCAAGGACAGGTGAGTTATTTCATACCTACATCGGTTAATTTGACATGGCGATTTACAAAAAAAAAAAAAAAAAAAAAAAAGATTAAAAAGATTCTATGATCATTAAAAATTCCTTGTTTAAAGCGTTTATATCACTAAGATGTTGGGTTTCACTGACATGCTGTGCTAAAGCGTTTATATCACTAGGATGTTGGGTTGAAAGCGTTTTTATCACTGAGATGCTGTGCAAAGAGTGTTTATATCACTTAGATGTTGGGTTGAAAGCGTTTTTATCACTGAGATGCTGTGCTGAAGCGTTTATATCACTTAGATGTTGGGTTGAAAGCGTTTTAATCACAAGATGCTGTGCTAAAAGCATTTATATAACTAAGATGTTTGGTTGAAAGCGTTTTAATCACTGAGATGCTGTGCTAAAAGCGTTAATATCACTAAGATGTTGGGTTGAAAGCGTTTTAATCACTGAGATGCTGTGCTAAAAGCGTTAATATCACTCAGATGTTGGGTTGAAAGCGTTTTAATCACTGAGATGCTGTACTTAAAGCGTTTATATCACTAAAATGTTTGGTTGAAATCGTTTTAATCACTGAGAGAATGTGCGCTTAAAGCGTTTATATCACTAAGATGTTGGGTTGAAAACGTTTTAATCACTGAGATGCTGTGCTAAAAGCATAAATATCACTAAGATGTTGGGTTGAAAGCGTTTTAATCACTGAGATGCTGTACTAAAAGCGTTTACATCACTAAGATGTTGGGTTTAAATCGTTTTAATCACTGACAGGCTATGCTTAGAGTGTTTATATCACTAAGATGTTGGGTTTGAAAGCGTTTCAATCACCGAGATGCTGAGTTTAAAGCGTTTATATCACCATGAATGAACGCTCGAACTCGACGAACGATCAGTGCTTAAATTGCATCATTGCCATGAAGTATAGAAGTGCAAGTAGTACACATATTCCGTTACTATTTTAAGATATATGAACAATACACACATTGAATTACTTAAGTATTTTTACACATATGAACAACGCACATATCTCATTACTATTTTTAGATTTACAAACGATACACACATTTCATTACTATTTTAAGATTACGAACAATACACATTTTCACTACTATTTTTAGACTTACAAACAATACACATATTTCATTACTTTTTTAGATTTATTAACAATACACATATTTCGTCACTGTTTTTAGACTTATGAACAATACACATTGTTTACTTCCATTTTTGTATTTTCTGATCGCAAGATCAGTAAATACATAGCTAACATCCACGGTCTAACACAAAATTTCCTAACAGACCTAACAACGCAAAGTAGTTCTCACTCAAAACTGCTTAAAAACCAGCAATTTAAAAGACAGAAGGCATTTAACGAATTACAGTGCATTGAAAGTTCAGATTAGTCAATAGAAATATGAGGTTACAATCACAAATTTTGCGGATGAATATCATTTTAATCAATGAAAATGCTATTTTTAGCTATGTCGATAACTGAATACTCCAGAGCGTAGTACAAAAATAAATCTGACTGCCGAGTAGTGGAATATATACATGTCGGACTGTTTTGGCGAGAAGATTTTCGCTAAATTATTTTTATCAGTGTTAAACAGGTTTATCGTGAACAAAATACCTCGAAATTGATAAGGATTACAAACACGAAATGGAAATTTTCAATTTAGAATTACAATGTACTAGTATTTGTTTTTATTCAGGCTACATATTACGTATTACTTCACCGTGGTGCAGGGGTATCGCGCTCGTATCGCGCTCGTTTAGGGTGTGAGAGGCCTAAGGTTCAAATCCTAGTCAAGGCAACTTTTTTTTGAAGTGTCTTTTTTAGGAAGTAGCCACGACATGCAAGGATAAAGTGTGGCTGTCATAAAAAAATGATTTTTTATGCAACTCTAGTCATGCAAAATTCCATATGTATCAATCTCAAACTGTTATATAAAAAAATCTAAACGCAGTCGCTGCGTAAGATGAATTATAGTATATCAAAATAAACTTATATAGGAAAATACATACAGATAGTCAGTATGATTTAGATTGCAAAGATCAGAAAATACCACAGAGCTTGCAGCCCTTTGATTAGACTTGTGATCAATACTCATATTTCACAACATATCTTTTATACTTGTAATCAATACACTCATTCACTTCTATTTTAGACTTATGAACAATGCACATATTTTGGTATTGTTTTTTTAGACCTGTGAATAATACACACATTTCAGTACTATCTTTAGACTTGTGAGCAATACACATATTTCATTACTATTTTTAGTATTATGAACAATACACATGTTTCACTTCCATTTTTAGACTTGTGAACAATACACATATTTCGTTACTGTTTCTTTAGACTTATAAACAATAGGCATATTTCGATTCTATTTTTAGACTTCAGAACAATACATACATTTTGTTACTATTTTTAGACTTGTTAATGCATCTTTTATTTTTCACATCAACAGCAATTTGTTGATAAAGACGCTTTAACTATAAAAGTCCATTAGCCAGACATGTAGTAGTTAATACAAGGGAAACTGTCTGTATAAATAGGGTTATCACCACGTTTTAGTTATCAAAGGTTTTACTAAAATAGATGACAGCCTACCGACATTACCATTTATTTAAACAGTACGTATATAGTGCTTTGAATATGCCATTAACAATACAGAACGGTGAGAAAACATATGTTGGCCATATGTCATATAAGTGCGATAAAAGGAAGGGTAATAAAAAAGTTGATTGGAAGTTGTTTTAGTGCATATTCTCGGTATATGATAATATAGTACTTAAAGTTCAAAAGAAATCACATGTACTAGCGTATCGACATTTTTATGACCATCTTAAAAATACAAACGTATGAAAATAAAAGTTAACTGGCAAATAAACACAATGATTTAGTATACTGCGGCACAAGAATCGATTGTCATAAGTTGTATTTATTTTAATGATGAATTATGAATATACGTTTGGTTCTGTTCTGTTCTGTTTGAAGAGAGCAGATATTATGCATAAAACTTTTCTTTTATAATGTCAATCAGTATTATTTTTTAACATTTCTATTCATTAAAACTATGATTCGATTTGGTAGTTGATCAGATTATACAATTTCTATTATAATGATTGTTAAAGTTCTTTTTAAAATTGCGCCCCGTCGGCTAGTCAGAATTAAGATTAATCACTATTTTCTCGTGCATGTGCAAACAGATTATTACCCTACTCGGAAATATAAGTTGACGTTAATAGAAAAATCAACGTCAGTTCACTTTAAAGTGTACTTAATTTTGTAGAATAAGATATTTTTGATAAAAACACTGAATAAGTATTGTTGCACGGCCTGCCTAAAGAGAAGTGAAAAAGATGGAATATAATTCACTGTTGCGATCCCGTCAAGCCATACAAGTTTACTTTGATATACATTATGTACACGCAGTTAGTATTTGACCACCTATTTCGTGCAATGAGGGGCCAAGAATAAAAAAACAACAAAACAAACCCCAACTATTTCTGTCTTTTTCCCATAAACTGCTTTCAACAATTTTGAAAGTTTATTCATTGAAATAACTGACATCTATTTGGACAAACCGCCCGTAGATGAGCGGAAGTTAGTCGCCTTAGCTGTTTTAATCACCCATTATAAAGCATTTAGTTGTGTTAACGTAATTGAATATATTATTTTTTATTCAGAATGAGACCGGATGATAAACATATATATTATATATATATGTCAACAACAAAAAATCTTTGCCGTCACCTCGGACTTGTTGACAGACACCTGACTAGTGCATTAATCACAGACAAACAGCACGGGTCTCGTCTGTCATGTAAAACAAGTACGGTGTCAACTAGTGTTTACAAACTTAAATCTTCTTTACTTGACCTTTTATAACTGGAACCTTGCATTTGTACACATAAATTTACAGTATTTGTGAAATAATTAGCTAAAATAAAAGTAGAAAAACAACATCAACAACAAAAGAAGCCTAAAACAAAACAAGAACAACCCGCTTTAAGTTGGTATTGAATTTGCATGGAAGTAAAATAACGATGTATCAAATAAATTGGAATTGAAGTAAAAGAACATTGCAACAGATAAGTTAGCAATGAAGCAAAAGAACAATGTGATAAATAAGTTTGTCTTAAGGTAGTCTTATTCTAATGCTTTCCCGCCAAAAAAGTCTAACAACGGCCAGTATCGTAGCAAATCGGTTATTTCCGGAAAGTTACTTTTTTCAAAGTCTTAGACATTAAGTTATATACCAGCACTCATTCATTATTGCTATGTACTAATGTCCGGTTATAAATGGTTCGAAAATTATTTAATTTGAAGATTCTGAAAAAATAAGGTTCCGGATATGACCGATTTATCACGATATTGGCCGATGTTAGACATTTTTTGGCGGAAAAACATTACAGTAACATTGTCACTTATACGTTGACTTATAAACAAAGGGACTTGCAAGGAGATATTCCGCTAGTTAAATGAATCTAAGGCTCCGTCATGGACGAGTGGTTAACGCATCGGACTTGCAAATTTAAGGATCGCTAGCCATGTGACTCGGTTGCCATTTTGTTAAGATTCCAACCAATTTTCTAGCTTGAACCAAGTGTGCAACCACTTCACGTCCTGCCCCTTTGGTTCCAGGAAAAGATTCGAGAGTGTGTCTATAAGCTTATAGCGCCCTTTAATTTATTCAGTGTAAACCAAATGAATTAATGTGAAATTTGCCTGCCTGTTGTCGTAAAATAAGAAATGTACTCGGCAAATATGTCAACACATATAGAAACTGTGACATTACAATCCACTTTACGATATAAACAATCATAAAAGACAGTAATTGTCAGTGTTTAGCGTGACAAAGTATACTTTATTACGAATTTTTATTAATTTTTAA